TATTAATGGTTACCAGACAGAACAAATTAAATTGTTTATGTATCTTGGGGTTAATTCCAGGCAGATGCTAGAAGGGACTCTGATGCTGATTATGTTGCTAATTTGGCCCAAAGAACTACCAAGCAATTTTACAGTATCATTATTCACAAGGCAATAGGTATTTATCTGTAGTCATTAAACTTTGCAGACAAAGGCCTTCATGCAACGACTATTTGGGGCAGCTGTCAATCCATAATCTAATTTCAGTCCACTGAGATCTGTTCAATCTAGATTTCTCAGGTTTATTTTTGGTACTCCCAAATGTGTGTCAAATGCAGCTAAGGCTAGAAACAGGGCTGATTAGAGTAGAAACAAGAGCCTGGTAATATTTAATTATTGGCTTAAATTCATTTATTAGCCCATTGGGCTTCTTTATTCTGTTTTAAATGATTCCTTTCAACCTATTTTAAGAAGTCTCTTAAGCAGAAACTATTTTCACGTGGTCTTTTTCAGACTATTTTATGTAATATTGGCTGGTCTTAGGCAAAAAATTTGATTGCCCGACCATTATTTGAAATTGAGTTGCAGTATAATTTGAACAGATTGTCCAGCTTTTGTGCCATACCAAAAACAGAGAAGCATGGCTCTCCAGCTTTACTCACAGACTTACTTAAACTATCAGTGGACCTTTACTAAGGGTGCTATAATGTCCTTCCTTTGGCATTGTCGCAGGGCAAATACTGCAGTGCTCATGGCTCTTTGTCTCTGCCCATGTTGCATAAAAGAGGTAGAATCAATTACTCATCTTTTTTTACATTGTAGGTTTTATACAATATTGAGCCAAAACTTTATTTTTTCCCTTTTAGGAGCAATCCCTGGTCAATCAGGTATCTTCTGTGTTGCTTGTTGATAATGGTTCTCATGCAACATATAATGCTGCAAAGTTTTGTTATTTAGTCCCAAGATTCTGGCAGGGGATCCATAGTGGAAAATAAGATGGATTGCTATATATTTGTTTTTTATTTGTTTCCTCCTTTTCTTTTACTATATTTTATTTGCTGTCTTGAGGCCATAATACAGTTGAATTCAATGCATTTGTGTTTGCTTCTTCAGATGAAAACATTTCATGCTGAAAGGTGGGTTCAGCCAGATGAGTTTATGCCCAGATTAGATCTGGCTTCTTCAGCCCACAGATGGCAGGAATGTGAAAGGGCAGATCCAACTGTGTGGATTAAGAGAATGTTATAAAACTTCTAGCAGTCTGTTAACTTGTAAACAGAATCCCCAGGATGAAAGAAGACTAGTTGCTTCAGGCTCCTTTTCTTATTCTAACTATTGAAGATGGAGAAATGGGAAACAAAATTGTTAAGTAAATCAGTGATTTACATAATATTTTTAATTACATTTTTCTTTGAATTACTGTTTCTATTCTACTTTAAGGTTAATAGGAATAAAATAATATCTAAAAAGTTCTTGTCCTTTTTGAAGAAAGTACATGATTTTTAAAAGTCACTGAAAGCTTTCCTCAAAAAAGAGATTTTCAGATACAAATCTTTTTCAGAATACAACTCCTACATCGGTGCATTTCTTCGGCATTAACTATGTTTTGGTTGTCCTGTTTTTTATGATTCAGGAAAACTTTGCTAAACTTGAAAATGTCTTCTGTGAAACACCTTGTTTATGCCATCATCCATTTCCTGAGAGAACAGAGTCAGATGGATACTTTCACTTCAGATGAACAAGAAAGCTTGGAAGGTTTGTGGAAATGGGGCAACTTGGTATCTAAATGAAATATTGCTATTAAGAGGTGTTAATACTTTATTGACTGTATTTCATAATTATAATTTCAACCTGTTCTAAAGTACTTCAGAGTCCCTTAGACACTTAGTCATACTTCAGACACTCTTTAAAAAGTACAAAGAGTGGTGGTGGTGGGGGGGATCAGAAAGATTGTTCAACATGGTCAGTTTTCCCTTTCAGTGCATAATCATAGAGGAATGCTTGATGTTTCAGAATGTGTACCCAGTTCACACAGAGAATTATTGTGGTAGGCAAGAATTCACAAACCTATCATGGATTTAATATTTAGGATTTATTTATAGGAACTGGTGAGGCTTAGCTTTCTATTTAACGAAGGGGAAGATACATTATTTCCTGCTGTATGTTTAGACCAGCCTTTCCCAACCCAATTGCCCTTTAAATGCATCATGATTGTAAGTTCCAGAATTCCCCACCAATATGGGAATGCCTTGTGATGATAAAAGATTCATCTGTCAGTTGCTTCTGTATTGGATTTTCCATGGTGCTTCTTACCAATGAGTTAGAGTCGTAATGACTGCATAGAAAATCCATGCAGTTTTCTTGGCAATAATATGGAAGTAGTTTGCCTTTGTCATCTTCCAAGATATATTTTTTTTTTATTGTCCAGGCTAGCCTACAGCCCCAGGATGTTGCAGTGGTTTCCCTTATGAGTACTAACCAGATCCAACTGATTTTTTTGAGACCAGCTAAGGCCAGCTAGATGCTACCACCTCCTGCTTAGCAGAGTTGAAAGATTATTGTTGCACCCATTTTAATGAAATTATGCTCATTCCATTAATAAACAACTTTAATCAGTAAGAGTTCTTTCTGTCAAGTTCGACTCCTGGTGAATACATGGACAGCATGATCATAATGCTGCTGGCTGTAGGCTAACAATTGTGCTGATTTGTTAAATATATTATTTCTTCTACCATATGTTAAGCTACTCTTGCCAGCCAGACTGTAGGTATTTTGGAATATAGACATATGATTGAGATTGTGAAGCTTATGTCTGAACAAATTTTGTTTACTGCTAAGTCTAGATAATTGAATCTAATTTTAAAATATTCAAATAAAATTACATTTAGGGCTATTGTTGGTTGAAGTAATGAGGGCACTTTGCAAGCTTTGAGATCTGCTTAACATATATATGTGTTATGTTATTAGCAAAATGTTAATACTTCTTTGAAAAATATATAATGAATTTAATATTTAATTAAAAGTCTGTTTTGGTATATTGCTTAAAATGATTTTAAATGTTATTATAAAACATTTCTTTCTTATCAAACGAGCAAAAACACATCACTCCTTAGTGATTATAAATAATTAAGAGGACTGAAAATTCTAAGCCATTTTCATAACTTAGAAATTTGCTGAATATCTCATAGAAGTCACACAGCCTCACCTTTTTAATTCGTATTGGCTTAGCATAACCCCAATGTAATAACTGAAACTATTGTAGTTTCCTGCAATATATCACAAAACCAGTGTGGACCGAAGCTACACTAACCTGGATTCGCACATCATACTAAGCCACATTGTGGTTTGTTTGATTCTGGTTTAGCATAAAGTATGAGCCAAGTCAATTATAACCTATTCAATAAAACTGTAGGTAAGGAAACTATAGCTTAATGAAATATGGAAATCCAAGGTTGAAGTTTACATTTCCTTACTCAGGAGTAAGTTCCATTAAAATTATGGAATTTCTACATAAACACAAAGTTTCTTTCCACTATATCCTTCCTTCCTTCCTTCCTTCCTTCCTTCCTTCCTTCCTTCCTTCCTTCCTTCCTTTTCTCTTCTGATGACTTCCCCATTTATTTTATTGGGGGAAGAGAACCTGTTTGGTAGCTGATTACTTGATAACTAGAACACGCTTGATCAGACAGACAGGAGTTGGTTCCATAGAAATGGTTCATGGAAATGAGGTAGGAAAACAGATAAAAAGATCTGCTGAATAGATCACATCAAGGAGAACCATGGGGAGGACAGAAGTGAAATTATTGAGATCTGGTAAGGAAAAAAAGTGTATTTCATGCAGAAGAGGAAGGGTTGGTAACCATTTAAGGAGACATGGTGCAACAGGGAGTAATCTACTTGGCAGTGTAGGTAAGGAAGGCTTACCGAAATTTTCTTTCAGATGATTTTTTTTTACATTTTCTTATGTGTGTATATGACAATTTTGAGTTGCCTGATGCAGAATTTGATGGGCAACCATTCCTAGTGTGAAGCAATGAGTCTGAAGCAACATTGTGAGTGGGAGACTGTGAATGTGGATGGGTGTTTTTCTTTTGCCATATTGTGATTTAGTTGCTTTTCTGTCAAATGCTTTTTGGCAAGAGAATATTTATTTATTTTGCATATATCATAGGCCTGTTAAAAATATTAATTCCACGTTGAGTCTGGAAGTCAAGAAGCATCCAAGAAATAAAAGGATAGTCATTTGTTTGCACAGTTAGCAATTTCTATAAAATAACAAAAATAATAAATAGTTTTATAGAGTGGGTTATGTTTGAAAATAACTCCAGGCTTAATCGTTTCCTTTCCTAGTTTAAAATTAATATAGCGTTGCAGACTTGGCAAGTGTGATCTAAATTGAGAGAATCATAGTTAAAATTCTCTCTTAACAATAAATGTTAATCAATCGATCAATAATGTTACTATCCAAAAGTAAAAAGAGGAAAAAAAGATGAGGGGTGATAAGTTTTCAAAGTTTAGTTTTTAAATATAGCATTACATTTTCACTATACAGGGTAATATTGATTGGTCTTTCCATTATGTCTGTTGAGAACCAGTTCATCAGCAGAGTGTGAACACATATTATCAGTCCAAGACTAAATGTGGGATGAAGCTACTTTTCCATTGGAACAAAATAATGATCTTTGCTACATCTCATGTTTGAGAAATAAAAAATTCTGCATATATTGTTTCAAATTTTCAGGATATGACTCAATATCATGTTTAAATTTTATTAAACCATATTTTAAAAAAACTTACAGATATTTGACCAAAATAGGACAATAGTGGTAGAAGCTCATAACATATCTGTAAGAGTCTCCTCTACCATTTTATACATCCAGCATAATGAAGTTACCAGCCAGCTTTTTCTGAACATTTTTTGAAATATCCAGTAAGCATGAAGAAATGTTTTGTTGAATTAGCCTCATGTTAAGGTCATAAGAAAGATATAGAATATTATATATTGATGCAGGCTTTCACGGCCAGCATCAGTCAAATTGTGATGAGATTCTGGGCTAATAGGCCAAGGTCTGATTTTTGGGTATCCTGACATTTTGCTAGCAAATGTGGCTGGCATCTTCAGAGGCAAAGAAACAAAGATCTTTCTCCCTTACACTGAGAAGGTTACAGACCAGACTGGAAATTTTCTGGAGAAGTACAACTTAAAAATGATCTACAAACCAACAAGAAGAATCCATGAAATCATTTAATCACCAAAGATGGCAGAAATCCACTTTCATCATCAGAGTATATCATATACCTTGTAGCTGCAGAGAGATATATGTTGGAATTATAAAACATAGTACTAACACTCGACTAAAAGAACATGAAAGATATTGCCAGTTAGAACAACTTGATAAATCAGTGGTAACTGAACACGTGCTGCTACATAATGACATAACATTCCATTTAAAGGCATGCAGGTACTAGCAATTCTGTCAGATCATCATGCACGGCTGCATAGTGAGGTGTTTGAGATTTATAAACATCCGAACAACTTTAACAAGAAGGAAGAGAGTGTGCACATTAACAAAGACCATATTGGCAGGTTGAGGGCAATGCTTTATTGATCTTTTCTCATTGTTGGCCAAGATTTATTGACTGACACCAGTATTTGATGTCTTGCAGATCCATATCTTTCTAAATTGGTGGTGTGTTCTCTCTCTCTCTTTCTCTCTCTGTCACATTACTTGTTTGATATTGATTTATTTAATTCAATTTAGGTATTGCCCAACTCCAAACTGCCTCTGGGCAGCTCACAATATAATTAAAAAAAAACATAATACAGAACAAAACAAGATGGGATTTGGTCACTCTGTATAAAAACATAGACAAAAACACATCTCACAAGGGGCTCCATCCATCCTACATTCCAGCCTTATTCCAGTTTATGCCCTCCAGATGTGTTGAGTTACAGCATGATAGCTGAGCATTATGAAAGTCAAATCCCCTTCAGGGTATCAGGATGGGAAAGCCAGGTTATTGGTTTTTGGTTTAGTATCAGATAACAATTATGGTATGATGTTTGTGATGCTTATACATATTGATATATGTCACATTATTTTTTAAGATACTTTATTTCTCTCTAGTGGCAATTCAATGTTTGGAGACAGTCTTCAAAATTAATCTAGAGGATACCCGTCTTGCAGTTCCTTCACGTTTGATAGAAATATTTGCAGATTCCTGTCATAAGGTAAAAATTAATTAAAATCCTATCTATATAGAGATTCAAACATTTTAATGTGTATACTTTTTATAGATAAAAAGGCTCCAGTTTGCTACTGAAGAATTGAAAGAATGAGCCTTTTTATAATAGCTGATAGCTTGTTTATAAAATGTTAAGTTATGGTACTTTTGTTGGCCTGGCCCAAAGGTTTATACTTGGCTTATAGTTTTTATCTTCATCCCTTTTGCAATTTATGATAGGTTTTGATTTCATACAGATTGAGAACCATTACTGACAGCTTTGGAAATGTCATGATTTAAAAATATAGTTTGAAATGGGTTTGAGAGCCTGATTTGTTCAAAAATGATAATTGTACATTTGTAGATAAGTAGCTTAATTAGAAACATGTACCTTTCATCTAGATATACCAATAAAAAAAGAAATGTTTATAATTCAGTTTTGTATACCTTGATACAAGCTTTCTGATGTCAGACATCTTAGTTGCACACTGCTGATTAACATTTGAACTAGCTTTAGCCTGCACATTTCCTGCATCCAGATCTGAAAATATAGAGAGAGATGTTTCAAAAGAAGGCAATCAGATTCATTTCTTTTACATACAGAATTATGTAACCGACATTCTTAGAGCTGACTGGATATGATGCAGTCCAGCATGATTTGGTGCATTGCCTACCCAAGTGCTTTTAAAATTAACGTAGTAAATGGAATTCAAGAATGAAAAAGAGGACTTGAATATTGCCAGATTATGATGCTGTTTTGGATAGTGTCTCTGCTCTAAGATACTGTACACTAAAAAAGGAAATTACTTTATAGCATTGATTTCTTACTAATATTACATTATTGACATTCTTGCAGAATAGGCCCCTGTGGCTTGTTTAAGGTCAGTGATATTACTGACCCTAAATAAGGTGATACAGAAAATGATATTTGTCTTTCTTTAAAATACCCGTAGAATGAGATTCTGCCTCTCTCAGATTCTTTGCCAGAGGACCTTGAAAAAGCTGACCAGCTCAAGGATGAAGGTAGGAAACTGAAAAGGATTTGAAAAAAGAATCCATTCTGCCATCAGTCATGTAGTTCATTTGTTGGTCATAATGTTGGATAAGCTCATGAATGAATCACAAATGTTCAGACTATTAGTCTTTAATAGATGATGTTGTATGGAATGAAACAGTGCTTTAAATATAATGTCTCCTGGCTGCTGTGGAAGAAACAAAAGACACAAGAACAAAAAATGTGCAGCACAATAGTATAAATGTTTGTTTATACTTAGGGCTGGAAAGGTATATTGCACTGAATTCACATATCATATTAGCCATAATATGACCTGCTTAATTTTGGTTTAGTGTATAGTGCAAAGACTTTGTGGTTTTCAGCCTATGGTTTATAGCATGTTATATGAACCCAAAAATCCTTAGTTTTTTTGTTATATGAATCAGGCCTTTATTTCTGTATCCTTTGTCATTTTCTGATATCATTGTCAGCTTTGTTTTGGTAACATCATTTGTTCCCTTTCAGATCATAATACAATATACATCCAGTGTGACTTCCATACAAAATAATGTGGTCATATAAGTTGTTTAGTAGAATACAAATACTAGCTATTTTTGTTGCTGCTCTGATTAGTAATTCCCTGTCCAACTCCCTGCTCAATGCAAAAATACAAATTAAAGCACTTCTGACAGATGGCTATCCATCTTCTGCCTCAGGGCCTTTATTCAAAGGGAGTCCACCTCTGAGATAATTGGTAATTGGTTCCGCTGTTGAACTATTCTTACTGTTAGGAAGATTCATTCAGCTGGGATCTGTCTTTCTGTAGCTTAAATCTGTTATTTTTTGTCCTGTGTTCTGAGGTGATTACCAGGTCTTGTCCAACTTAGGGTAAAGGATATCCCAAATTGCCATATTTATGACATGGCATCTAGATGTAAATCTTTTGATTTCAGCTAGGATACTCTGGCTGTTGAATTGTATTGGATCATTAATTTCTGCCAGTTTTGCAAGGAATGTGCCATCTTGCGTCAAACAAAATTGCAGGAGAGAAGTATTAGTAGTGCCAGTTTGTATAACATTGCTCAAAATAATTTGTTTCTGAAAAGATATTTATGAAGGGTAACCAAACTGGCTTTTATGGGGTGTATTTTACAGCACTCCTGAGGCTGTTGTTCAAAACAGCATTCCACTGATTCAATTATTCATGAACATTTTATTATGATGATTTATTTTAGGTAATAATCACATGAAAGAAGACAATTACGCAGCTGCTGTGGATTGTTACACCCGAGCTATAGAATTAGATCCAAATAACGCAGTCTACTATTGCAACAGGTGAAGTTCATATAAAGCATTTGGATACTTATTTCTGAATTATATTAATCCTTCTCTCAGTATATAACACTGTTCTCCAGAATGCTATGCCAAACTCTTGTTTTTGTTTTGGTCACTACTTTTCTAGAATTTCACTTCTGTATTTATTGCTCTTCTTTAAGTATGCTCAGTCATAAACCATCTTCTCACTTGAAATTTAAGGCCCAGTTGAGATCAGTGGGGCTTTCAAGAAAACTTTACTAGAGTCAGATGGACAAGTCTTAGCTCAGTTTTAGGAATGCGCAGCTATTCAGTTCTGAAGCAGGAAAAATGCTTCGGAGGGCATGTCTGCATTCTTTAAAGAAGCTCTTTCTTTTCCTGGCCTTGCACAGTAACTGTGTGATCCCAGGAAAATATGTGTTTGAGTTAAGGAGACATTAAAGAGTTAGCAACAAGATGCAACAATGATATTGTCATTGCTATTTGATAGATAAGCTATTTGAGGGGCTGACTATCTTGCATGGTTTCTGTCTGTCTGGTATGATTGGGCAGAGATGGTCGCTTTGGGTGCCATCCATTAAACCAGTGTTTCTCAACCTCAGCAATTTTAAGATATGTGCACTTCAACTTCCAGAATTCCTCAGCCAGCATGCTGACTGGGGAATTCTGGGGATTGAAATCCACACATCTTAAAATCACTGAGGTTGAGAAACACTGCATTAAACTATGCCATCTATCAGGACCCATGTAGTACACCTTCTCTGTCACAGCACCTGCCCTCTGGAATAGCCTCCTGATGTTCTGGAAGTCTTTAAAAATGTGGCTATTCTCCCAGGCCTTGGGATAGGGTGGCTGCTGAGCCCGTCAAGTGTGTTTTTTTGTAATATATGGAGGTTGTCTTGTCTGGATACAGAGTTTCCTGTTTTTTATTTATATTTTTAATGTTTTTACATTGTAAACTGGAGTCTGGAATCATGCAGCCTTTATATGAAATAAACTCTAGAGCAGTGTTTCTTAAAGTGTGGTCTGAGGACCCCTTCGGGTCTTCCCAAACCCTCTCAGGGGTCCGAGAAATCAAAATTATTTGCCAGATATTGAAGATACCTGCAAACATTTAAAACAATGTCACACTTCTCATTATTACTTTTTATTAAAAATATAGGGCTTTTTCATGAAAAATATTTTATTTATAACTAATGGGTTTAGTATTGTTATTTTTACATGATTCAATAAATAAATTTTATATGAATGCATCAATTTTAATTTTTAATATGGTAAATATCAGTAAATACAATCCATACAAACAAAAGTACTTTTGGGCTCTTCCATAATTTTTAAAAGTGGGAAGGGGTCCTGAGAGCAAAAAATTTGAGAAACACTGTTCTAAAGGTATTAATAATGTTTGTTAAATGAATGTTAGCATGAACATGTGTTTCCTGAGAAAACATGGAAGGTGACTCTGGTAGACCTTTTTCCTCAATATTCTTCATTCAAAAATCATTTAATTTGGGGGAGAAAACAATATGCAGTTTTTTTCTAAGTGAGATATGTTGATTGTATTAATGGTTGATTGTCAGATTAAGATTAGTTTGTTGACCTTTATATTTTTTGAGCTTTGCTCTTTTTTCACATCGTAGAGCTGCTGCTCAAAGTAAATTGAACAATCACAGTGAAGCAATTAAAGACTGTGAGAGAGCAATCGCAATAGATCCAAAGTATAGCAAAGCATATGGAAGAATGGGGTAAGCAAATTAACTTGTTTGAATCTAAAATTAAAGGAAGTTTTCTTAACAGAGTTCCTACTCCCAAGGTGGGCAGCTTGTTTCTATTCATTGTTACATTCCCTTAGACCATCTACTGACGGTGAGACAGAAGTGGAGCAATAGTGCTGTTAACTCATTCTTTGACTCTCTTTCATTTCTCTCCCCCCTCCATATTTCTCTTTCTCTGGCACTCCTGTTCCTTCTTTCTTTCCTCTGTCTCCCTTGATCTCCCTTTTTCTTCAACGTTTCTAATCTCTGTGGTATTCTTCTTCCTCTCTTCCTGTCTGTTTGTCCGTTGGAATTGCTAAAGGAGGAATATGTAGCTCATCCCAGCAGTCTAAATCATTTCCTCTAAGAGGGAGAAGCTCTAGATATTTAAAATATTTTCCAATACCTAAAATTAATGAATATTTTTACTTGACCACCAAGTAGCTAAAAGATGAATTTGAATTTGCTAAGCTCTTCAAATTAATACCCCTAAAATGAAAGGGCTGTTTGGGTTCCCACATGATTTCAGACTGATATGCTTTGTAATTTTATTTCAATTCAAAATCAAGCAATTTATTTTAAGGTTCTGTCTTTTGTATTTATGAGGCTTGCTGTGTCTGCAGGATTTCATGTATGATAATCAATGCATTTTTAAAATCAAATTTACTTTCAATTTACTCTCTCCTCTTGTAACTGGAGAATCAGCAAACACCAGATCAAAAGAGTTTTGTTTTCTTTTTGCATAAAAGACATAATTATGACAGATTTTAAAATGCCTATGACTTCTTTTCATACTTTAAGCATTGATTTTGCATAATTAAGAAATTAATAAAACATATTCTTTTGCATGACAAGACATTGAGAATGTCCTGACATGAGGTTAATGTTAGTCCATTTAAATGTGGATTTGTAATAATCTATTAATGGAATAGTTCTAGCAGTAGTGTGCTGAAGGTATGTACTATATATTTTTTACATTGTCTGTACTTTACTATTCCCTACAGTGCCTCTATGGAGCCTTCTTGACACTTAGTTAAGGGCCCATTGAGAATTCTCAAGTATGTAGGGTAATAAGTATTTTTAAATTTTGTGATAACATTTGGTGGTTTATATATTGTGGCTTCCAAAGAATAGGGAGAACTTTAATCAATGGCCTGCTTTCAAGTGACCCATTACATTGACCCTCTCTGTTGATGTAAGATTTGAGATTCTTAAAAGTAATGTTTGATCCCATCCTGAGCAAAATGATCAGTTTTGTTCTAGAACATGCCAATTATTTTGTGCAATGGATATATAAGCAACTGTAAGCTTTCTTGCAAACAGAAAAATGTTAAAGTTTACATTATTTCTCAAATACAACTTACTATTTACTAAATGAAAAGTTAGTATGGTATGTATGTAATTGCATGGTAAGCCCACTTCTCATGGCATCCTGCTGCACAGAATTGAAATTATTCACCACTCCTTATTTTCTAAATGTATACAAATGTGTAATAAAATTCTCCTTACATGTGTGATACTATTAGCTACACATTTGCTATATTATATCATTAAAGTTTACATGTATGGTAACACTCAGTGAATGCTACTTTTGGATGCAAAAAGCCCTGGACCCAGGAAAATACTAAAATGTTTATTACTTTATGGCATAATTTTAATGGACTTGCACCCATTCTTTTCTCTATAATTTAAACTGTATTTATATCTTTTATTTAAAAGAATGTGAATTAGATGTAAAAAATACAAATATTTGTTCAGATTTTCCTTATATTGACTCCCTTTGTTCATATTAGATTGGCTCTGACTTCAATGAATAAATATCAAGAGGCCATTAACAGTTACCAAAAGGCACTGGATCTTGATCCAGAAAATGACTCTTACAAATCAAACCTGAAAATAGCTGAACAGAAATCAAGAGACATGTCCAGTCCTGTAAGTTAGCTTTTGGACCATTTGTAATAATACATTGTTTAAATGTTTTCGTTATCCAGTGCTTTTTTACATATAGTTGACATGTATTTATTTTTAGACTGGAACTGGTCTGAGTTTTGATATGGCAAGTTTGATAAACAATCCTGCCTTCATTAGCATGGTAAGTGCACTTAAAATTTATTTTTGTTATTTCTGGGTTCCACTATTTCTCATATTGGTTAACTATTCCTCAGTCTTGTTGACATCATATTTTCCTTTTTTGTGATGATGATGATTAAATTTAAACCCTGTCTTTCTCCTTAATCAAAGCATCTTGCAACTGTAAAGCAAAATACAAAAACACAACAATCAAACCAATACAATTAAGATCAATTAAGACAGTGTAATTGCCCTAAAACCAGGACAATTAAAACTAGTTGAACAGCTAAAAGCCTGGTGAAAGTGTTTTTGATATTTTGCTAAATACTGGGAAACTGGGGATGGGGTGGGGGGAGAGTGTACTTTGTGGGAAAGCATTTCATACCTTGGAGCCACACTTGAGAACACTCAGCTGAGCTTCTGACAGGTGGGGCAACTTCAAAAGGACCACTTATTACTGATGTAAGTAACCAGACTTATAACAGGGCAGTACTGAGATACCATAGTCATTAGATGTTAAGGCTGATTCATTGTTTGTTTCCCCCCCCCCCAAAAAAAGTTTGGCTTTGAAAGTTCAGGTATGACCATTACTCACAGTGCAACTACCCTGGCTAACTACTGGCTTCCTTGCAGCTCAAATTATTTCATCTATTTCAGGCAGCAAGTTTAATGCAGAATCCTCAAGTCCAGCAACTGTAAGTATCAACACAGGACATCTGTGTTGTCACAGAGGTGACAAAGCAAGCGTAGCATAGAGGATTAGGGTGAGCACACATAACTTTCAGGAAACACACCTAGTGCTGAAATTTTACTGAACAATTGTCTTTCTAGTAATGATTTCCCCATTTGTTAGGGTAAGATGAAGAAGAGATTATAGTTCTGCTTTTGAACTCAAGAAGAAAATCTGGCAGTGGAATCTGTTCTTTGGTGGGTCAAAGCAAGAATTATACAGAAGAATTCATATGAGTTTCTGAAATGAAATAAAATGAGTACATGTATTTATTTGACATGGTTTATATTCCACACTTTTAGACTCTAGATAGCTTATAATACTCGTACAAAATATAAATAGTAAACACAATATTCCATTGTAAAAACCATAAAACTTAAAAACACAGCAACTGGATAAATGCATAATAGCCATCATATCTCACTAACACATGCTTCAAGGTTCAGCAGAGGAGGATTTCTGAAGGATAAAAGGAGGAGGGCAATCTGGCCTTTTGGGACATGCTATTCCATAGGGCTAGTTGCAGTTACTGAAAAGGTCTGCTCCCCAGTCCCCACCCCTCTCCCTTCATGGGGAGGGGGGAGGAAATTGGAAGCATCCCTCCCTAGATTGACTGCACAGGATTGCAGATTATTCAGAGCAGATAAGTCTGAGGATAGCAAGAACTTGGGCAATGAAAAGCTGTATAAGTCACCACCAGCACTTTGAATTGTTTCCATAAGCCTATTGCCAGCCAAAGCGTTACTCGCAGCCTAGGTATTATTATGCTAAAATGGCTAGCAAGTAGACAGCTGCATTTTGAATCAGTGGCAGCTTCTAAGTAGTCTTGAGAGGTAGCCTCAAGCAGTATGTGGTAAAGAGGGCCTGAGGAATATGCTGCTCAAAAAATTGTCACATCTGGTGCATCAACTGAAGCTGAGAAAAGGTTATCCTGACCAAAGCTTCCATCTGCTGTTCAAGGTGTGTCAATAGTTTTGAATGCTGCTGGGAGGCCTAATAGGACAAGAAGCACTGCACTCCTTCCATCTAGGTCCTGCCACAGGTCATCCACAAGAATGATCAGTGCTGTTCTGATCATGTGCCCAGGTCTGAAACCCAAAGGAATCTTTAAAATCCACTTCATCCAGGATTTTCTCTAGCCCTTATCTTACTCTCAGCCTTATATAGAAAGGGACAACTGGAGGCCCAGTGGAAGTTGTCCAGTCAAGGGATGGCTTCTTCAAGGTGGCTGGTATAGCCCCTTCTCTTAAAGAAGCATTTCCCATCCCTCAAATCCAGTTGCCTGTTTCTTCCATGTCTGCTTAAATAAATCCAGGAAGAGAAGAAATCCTGCTCATGGGTGGCTGAGTTCATGCTACAGAAGATTCCACAGGTTTAAAACAGTTTCAGAGAACCTTACAATACATTACATCAGCCATGTCATTGAATTCTGCCTCTAATTAATGTGTCCAAATCTGTGCAAATACAAGTGATTTTATCTGCAAAATCCCTTATAAACAAGTCCCAGCGGCCTGAAGTTCTTTTCATCCATCATTGACTAACAGCACGAGTCAATTTAAGCAGAGCTGTGAGACACACAGACATAATAAAGGCGTAGAAATAACTATTTTGCCACCCTTATCAGCGAAGTATTGATTCAAACCTGGGCTCATACCAGTGTTCAGTCATATTTATTCTTCATTTTTTGCTATCTAGAATCTGTAGAATCTCTTCACTCATTTAATCTCTTGGAGCTGTTCCTTAAAACATGGAGCACCCTTGGATCAGAACCAGAGGGAGGTTTGTGGGGGGGCAATCTTGCACAACACCCTTGTTGACTCTGCATTCTAGAGATCAACTAAGTGGATAGCCAAACTAATCACCAGATTGTTAGAGAAATCCTTAAAATGCCTCTTGTAAACTACTTTGATCCATAATGCATCTGAGGTGGACCATCATACTTCCTGCAGAGATCAGAAGTGGTAGCAAACTTCATGGTGAATTTATTAAACTCACACTTGTTCTTATTTGAATTTATGCAAGATAAAATTGTTCGTATTAATATACCTCATTTTCCTTGTAAATAGACTTATAGAGAGCTTTACACTTACTTGTAGTCAGTTATTAAAGAAAAACAAGACAGTTAATAACAATGCATTTGAAAATCTGTATTTCTATCAGTATCATATCTGTTTCTTTTAGGATGTCAGGAATGATGACAAATGCTATTGGAGGTCCTGCTGCAGGAGTTGGTGGTCTCACTGATCTGTCAAGCCTAATTCATGCGTGAGTATTTATAGTTTAATCCATTTGGTTTAACATTTAAGAAAAACCTATGCTTTATGAAGTTTCAAGATGTCGTGTAGGTATTTTCTGGCTGTCAAAATGACCAAATATATTGGAAATAATTTAATGAAGAATTCATAATTACAGTAAGTAAAAATAATATGGTATTTGTTTTGTTTTGGTGTTGTTTTGTGCCTTTGAGTCAGTCTTGACTCCTGGCAACTGCCTGGGCAAGTCCCTGCAGTCTTCTTGGCAATATTTCAGAAGTGGTTTACTATTGCCTCCTTCCCAGGGCTGAGAATGAATGACTGGCCCAAGGTCATCCAGTTGTATTCGTGCCTAAGGCAGGACTAGAACTCATGGTCTCCTGGTTTCTAGCCTAATGCCTTAACCACTACACCAAACTGGCCCATAGTATGGCATTACATTTCATTTTTCCAAATCAAAGAATTGACTAGGGGCGTTTTTGTTTTTCACTTTTTTTGTTTTTCACTTAGGGTAGTAAACAGAGTAACTTCTGTTTAAATAATATTGTTACTTACGTCTTCAACTATTACACAATAGTGCCTTGCCTTCATTTACTTACTTTGTTTTAAAAAATACATTTTGTGCAGGGGACAGCAGTTTGCCCAGCAGATCCAACAGCAAAATCCAGAGCTCATAGAGCAACTGCGAAACCATGTTCGAAGCAGATCCTTCAGTGGTAGCACTGAAGAGCATTCTTGATTCAAGAGACATAAGTTAAAATATTGTTCTACTAATTCCAAAAGGCATATTGTAGCTTGTAGCAAATATCACCAGTGTAATTCTTCTCAGACATGAGATAGAAAATTCTTTGTGTGTATTCCTTATTGTCTGTTGGAAACAGATCATTGCACACAGATTTGAACATATCATGTATGTTTAGTGATGCCTTTGTATATGGACTATAAGTAGAACTGTTGACTTATTAAAATCTCTGTGTCAGGGGAGCATCTTTATATTAATAAGCAACAGCATGTGGATTTTTCATTCTCTTTGAGAGAATGGATTTTTTGCAGCATACCGTGCATTGAAAAATAACATCTGATGCATGCCAGAGGAATAGAAGACTACTACTTGATGGGCCATCACTCCTGTATAAAGGTTGTGTATAAGTTATATTCAATAAGGTTGTTTCTTGCCCTTCAATATAAGGCTGATGGATACATAAACAATTGTGCATGTCTAATTGGCAATAAACATAAAGTAAAGGGTTCACTTTTGACGAAGTATAGTTGATTACTGGAATTGTTGAAAGAAAGGGCTATAGGCCTGACTGGTTGAATGGCTTCACGATGAGATAATATGGCAGGAGAAAGAAAAGCTATGGGTGAGTAGATGATGGAGAAAGATGGAGAGGTGTGTTTGTAGGAAGTGGGCTAGAGATACGAAGCTGCATATATGATGTAAGAGGGCAGCTAAAGCAAAAGCAGTTTGTAGAATGATTGGTATTGACTAAGTTTGAAAAGAAGTTACAGAGGAATGCTTGATCTTCCATATTGTTTTATAAATGGGATTAACATCCAAAGCTTCTGCACCATGGGGGTGGGGGAAGATGGGAGAAGAAAATCGTGAATCTCATCTTTAAGATGTATGATTAAGCAATGGAGTCTCCACATAATTTGTCTTGGATAGTTAGTAGAAGGATGAAGTTAGAATGAATGCCCAGAAGAGGTACACAGAGGAATGTTAAGAGAAAGCTCCAGAGAATATAGAATGGAGAGAATCTGCATACAGAAACTCTAAAGGACTTTCTTATGAAATGATACCATGTTCTGTATTAATATAGTTTTATATACATGGGATCAACTGTACCTGTCATCTACCTACTTACATAATTCTGGGAGATTGACTGTACATTAGAAATCAATTTAAGAATTTGAGATGGCATACGTTCAGTACATTGCTTAAAACATTGACTAATATATAAAGCTTGGTTCATCACAATTTTATCCCTCTATTATGACTCTGATTCCGCCCCCCCGCTGTTACCTTTCCTCTCCTTTCCTTTCTCCCCCCCCCTTTTAAAATGTGAACAGAATTGCTTAAATAATTTCTGCAGGAATAGATCAGTTCATTCAGGAGAAAGCTTCCAGTGTCACAGTATAATGCTATATTTAGAAAGATTTTCATGGGAGGATATTCTCGAATATTGAGTGGGTGGAAGAACATTGACAGCCTTCTGCTCCATTTACATCATCAGATAGTCTCTGTAAAAAGCAACTGTTTGTTAGACATTTATTTTGAATATACGTGGAGCCACTGAGCTGTCCTGAGTTTTCCACAAAGTTTTGTCTCACCTGTGTTTAACAAGTTTTCTTGGCACTAGGACAGATGAAACTCACTGTATTAAGTGTATAATCTGAAAGTGGGAGGAACTGCTAAGAAATAATTTAGAATATGTTTGTAGTCCAGATGTTAATAATTAATTGAATTAACTTTTAAAACTATTCTAAATTATATTATGTGTAATTAATGTTCTGAAATCATTTGGTAAGTATACTCCAATGCTAATTTAATAATTGCTGCTATAGTGCTTACTGTTGCTAGTCTAATTCTAAAACTAAGATTCCATGGTTGTCTTAGCTACTCCCCTTCTATAAGCATGTGTTAAAATGTCCTGTGTATCCTGATTCATTGTCTTTTCAAATCAAAGTTATGTTGTGACACAGCACTAGCACTTTCATGTTCACAGTGGAGTATTTGCCAAATGAATGCGTATTTCAGAAAGTAACATTTAAATAACAACTATTCACATTCCACTCTTAATTCATTATCTCAGTTTTTCATGGAAGGATAATGGGTCAGTCCTCTGTTATTTGGAATAAGTTTAATAAAACAAATATGCTGTTTTCATATACAGTATTGTCTGTGGTGTTTTCATTCTTTATTTCAGGAAGAAATTCTCTTGTCTCAAACTATTTTAAACCAGGGCTATTTGCAGAGATAACTGTACTTTTTTGCACTTACAGCTATATGTTCTATTTAGAAATTTAGCCATTGCTATCAAGTAACAGCTAGTCTTGGAGCCAACTTGTCTTACTAAGTTTAGTACAACTTGTTTCCTAAGTAAAGATTGCCATTCTTAGTTTAAAAAAAACCCCTTAGTTCTATTTCATATGCTAAGTTTTCACAACTAATGCCAACAATTGTGGAAAGTACCAAAAATCACCATAGGAAACAGTATCAGTAATCTGATACAATTAAACTTTCTTATTATTCCCAGCTCTTTATACCCTTTATTCGGTCTACAAACCTGAATTTTTAATATTTTCCATCAAACCACTCATTTTAGCTGAATTACTACATGTAGTCAAGGAGCTGCTTTATCGACAAACATTCCTTCAATCAGGTAAACCTGCCATATATTGTACAGATTGAGATGATCTGTGTCAAATATAAGTGAAGTGAGGAGAAAAGGAATCCGACCAATTGGAATCCAGCACTTTCCATCGGCTGCAACCATCTTGGAAAAATACACTAATGCCTTTTTCAAAAGAAATAATCATACTAATCCATTTCAGCAAAGAGAGAATCTTGTAGCAATTTAAAGGTTTCAATTCATAGTAATTTCAAATTATAATACTTTCAGAAGCATGAAGTGTTACCATGAGTTATAGGTGTGTCCATAACCGTAACCATTCTTGAATAAATAATGAGATCCATAGAAATATACAGGAAGTTACTGGAGATGGCACAGTTCTCCTGTTACTGCTAAGATAATCCCACTAAGCATGTGTAGTGGGATTAAAATTTCTGTCCACCAGTACTTGAATAGATGGCTGCAAATTAAATTTTATGAGGGAAAGGTAACTGAATATTTTTCAGAAACTTGATTTAGAGTAATTGCTAAACTGATAGGATGGAGCACACTGACTCATTTCTGCAAAGCTTCAATGGATTTCAGTTTCCTCTAAGTATACATTATAGCAGGTGACAATAATATTTATATTCTATTGAAACTTGCTTCAGTTCTTGTTAGCTACTGGAAACCCCTTATGGACTTTTTGATGAAAAAAGAAAAAAAATGAACAGATGATTTATGGGTTTGATGATTAGAAAGGGTAGATTATGGAAAAAAGGAAACTTCAATGTAACCTTAGAGAGGGCAAAATATAAATGTATTTATAACTGCTGTTAGGAAGACCAGAAGCCACTTCTTTATTCTTTTTTTCTTTTTCCTTCTTTTCTACTTCTTTTTCGATATTTCTTTTAACTTTTTTATTACTTTTCTCCATTTCCCTTATCTAACTCGAAATTTGTATTGCTTTTACTCCGTGGAAAAATTTCTTTAATAAAAAAAATTATTTGTGTGTGTGTGTGTGCGTGCACGAAACTTGCTTCAGTTCAGTGGGTATTTAGAGTAAATCAATTGCTTTTTTCCCCACTAATGCCAAAACCAACTATAAATTTCATATGAATGACCATGGTACAATAAAGCAAAATGAAAAACTTATCAAATTAAGCACACTAAACTAGAATCACAGCATACACTTTGCAAGTAATCCCAAAATTCAATCAGTTATCAAAGTTGTCTAGTGATTTGTGTCTGTATATATTTTCATTTGTTGACAAATGAAGGGACAAATGGAGGTTGGCAGGTGTTTCTTTTCTGAGTCTGTGGATAAATGGATTCTGATGTGAAGTAGGTCTTGAAACTGCC